GTGGACTTGATCTCCGGCAATTTCCTCAGGCCCGTTGCGAAGACGACATTAGCCCCGGTCAGAATTGTGAAATGAGCATACACTCAGGAACTTAATCTCAGCGGTCTACAGTCGACACCCTCTTAACCCATAGCCCTCGGGACAGGCCCAAATATATGGGTTTTGGGTTTTGAGGGGTTATGGGCTACCAGAACTTTAGCGCCTCATAAGCGCCCTGATAAGTCCCAGTTAGCGAGGGCTGAACAGGCGTCTACTGACCCTTTGAGGGAGCGCTATGGGATTTCGAACACACTAACCTACCCACAACATGGTCGAAGCGTGGATGGACACTGGGAGGACACTGGGAAGAATGTGTCAAGTATTTTGTGGGTTATTGATGAGCAAAATCTCAGTGTGACCACTATTACCGTATGGGTTTTGAGCCCTAGAAGGCTATGGGTTATGGGGTATTGGGGACCTATGGGTTATGGGGTCGAATTCCCCCTATCCCGACTTGGGAAAGCCAAAATCCTATGGGTTTTCGGAGTTTATGGGTTACCAGGGGTATGGGTTAGGAGGGTGTCGACTGTACTGTGTACGTCTCCGCACTCCAGACTATGTACGAATTTCCGACGAATGCGGAGTGGATTTGGACGCCGGACGGGGTACCATTAGGAGCGAGTCTGCTCGCTACTCGGCTGCCTGGAGCTTGCGCGGGGATCTGGGAGGAGAAGATCTTTGAGACGGTGCCTCCAGTCGTCGAGGTAGTCTGTGATTATGTATGATATCTTCTCTGCACACGCACTCGTGACTCCCTATGACGAAGGGATTCTCCCTATCTCATTGTCATTCGCTCCGATGGCAACGTAACGTACGATCATGACCGAGTTCCTTGAGGAAATACTTGATATACGGCCCGGGAAGACCGTTCAAGGCCTTGAAGCAGAGCGCGGTGTCCTCGGTAATGCAAGGACGGCCGAGCAGCTCGGCGGCGCGGCGGCACTTGGCGATGGCGACCTCACGCGTCGAGCCCTGTATTTCGGGAACTAGAGCGGGTTCCGGGTTATCTTTCGTGCTGGTTCATACAAGCATTTCCCCGGAGAGTGCTCACTATCGAGTTCCTGCGAGTCGACCTCGATGTTGGCCGCGCCCAAGATCTGGCGAACCTCGCGCAATTTACCCGCGTTGCCGGTGACGAAGGCTGTTATCATCCGATTCTTCTGTCCGGAGCGGACATAAATATCAAGAAAACCTACTGATCTTCATCGCGACTTGGATTCCAGTCGACGAGTGCAGGGATCCAGCTCTGCTCGCAGACGCACACGAGTGGCCATCTTGGCAGTCTGTATGACAGGCGTCTATCGTGCGGGATCGCAGACGGGAGCGCTTCGAGTCACGAAAGGCAGTCAGTCACGTGTGCTGTTACGAAAGGACCTGCCCTAAAGCGGGAGATACGCGCGACGCGTCGAGGCAAGGGCGACGGCGTTTCTGCTGCTGCCATTTCGGTCGCTAGACGCCAGCGACCGCGGGTCCACCTTCTCAGCCCAACGTGCTCGACGGCGACGCGCCTGACCAGGCATGGCTCGCAGGGCCGTTTCGCACTACTCTGACGACTCGCAAAAGGAGCATAACGGCCGTTCTGCCAACAACTTGAGCTCGTCCAAGGCCAATACAAAGAGCAGGCGCGCTGCTATGCGGAAACATCATGACGCAGAGGACGGCGACGACGAGGCGCACGCGATGGAAGAAGATGATAAGGATACGCACGATTACGTCAATGGCGACGTAGAGGACGACGAAGCCGACGAAGAGGATGCGGAGCAGTCCCCCAAGGGCCGGAAACGCGCCCGTGCTAACACAGTAGGCGACGCCCATCCTGCCGCCGGTTCCTCCAGGCCAGAGAAACGCGGTCAGACTCTGCCCCGAGACAAGGATGGGTATGTCCAATTCCTGTATGCGCGGTCGGTGGCTCACTACCCGCGCAGTTTCGCGCCCGGCTCGATCGTCCGCATCCAGCTGAGGAACTTCTTGACATATGATTGGGTCGAGTTCCGACCGGGCCCGTACCTTAACATGATCTTTGGACCGAACGGTACAGGCAAGAGTTCCATTGCTTGTGCTATATGTCTTGGCCTCAACTTCCCGCCGTCCGTAAGTGAAATCCTGGGGTGACTGTAATGGCTGTATCCACGATAGCGGCAACTTATCGCAACTATACTCAAACCAAAAATCCTCCCACAGCTTCTGAATCGTGCTCAGGACCTCAAGTCGTTCGTCAAGAACGACAAGAGGACGGCCACATCGAGATCGAGCTCAAGGGCGCGAGGGGCAAGCCTAATCTCGTCATCCGACGCAATCTCTTCTCCAACTCGGAAAGCGCCCCGTTTATGCTCAACGGCCGGTCCTCGTCGGGCAAGGACATCAACGCTAAGATGGCGGAGCTGAACGTCCAGGTCAATAACCTCTGGTATATCTTGCATATTTTGCGCAGCACGGCCCCAATGTCTGACCCATAGGATGCGCAACAGCGCGTTCTTGCCTCAGGACAGAGTGGCCGAATTCGCGCGAATGACGCCTCAGCAGCTGTTGAGGGAGACACAGCGCGCTGCTGGTAACCCGAGCTTGACTTCATGGCACGACACGCTCATCGAGTCAGGCAAGAGCCTGAAGAACATTCAAGATGTAATTGCTACGCTTGGCGTTCCTTTTCCAAATCTGACATGCTCTATTTTCGCAGCTTGTGAACGCCGACAAGGATCAGCTTAAGACCATGGAGGATCGCAATGCGAACCTCGAGCGTGATGTCCGCCGTTATGAAGAGCGTCGCGCACTTGAGAAGCGGGTACGCGCATCCATTTGCGCGGAACATTGGAGGAATACTAAACTGCCGCATCAAGTTCGAACTGCTCGAGCTCGTTGTGCCCATCAAGAAGTACTACGCGGCACGTGAGAAGTATAGGGAGTTCAAGCCGAAGCACAAGGAGGCTGTCAGGACGGTCAGGCGCCTCAGTCATAGGCACCAGCCTTTCATGGAGAAGAGCAAGTGCGTGGATTCCGTCGCGTTTGGGCGTCTATCACTACTACGATCTCTCACGCGGTACGTTCCTGTAGGCAACTGGAAGCGGAGCTAAAGCAATGCGACGAAGCCCGTGAAGAGAAGAAGAATATCGCCCACCGTAAGGTTCAAGGTATGAGTCAGAAGTGGGATGAGAACAACAGACTCGTGCGTTGTTTTCACTTCCGTCTCTGTCGGAAATATCGGCAACTCATGCGTGTCACGATGGAAACTATAGGAGGAAAGAGCGGACGAGCTTAAGCAGAAGCTGGACAACCTGAAAAGCACTGAGAAGACGCGCCAACAGGAAATTAAGAGGCTCCAGAAGAACATTGAGGAGGCCGAGAAGAACATCGCAAACCCACCTAAGACCGAAGATCTCGAGGTCATTAATGTTAATGGGTAGATGGTTCGTAAAATTACCTCATCACCACACGATGTGTTGACCGACCGTACTATGTAGAGGAAGCTCAACGAAGAGAGCAGCGGTTTACGTAGAAGGCAGTACGAGTTGCAAGACAAGCAGCGAGCCAACGCCGCGCAGAGTGTCGAGTGCAGACAGAAGATCGACCACTACACTACCGAGCATGTTTTTTCTGTCCCACAAATTGTCCTCGTACACTAATCGCCCTCGATCGCCTCTCCTCCAGATTGAAGCGCCTTGACAACGAGGCCCACCAAAAGCTCGAGCAGCTCAAGCGCTTCGATTCCGACGCGGCGGACGTCGTCGTTTGGCTCCGCAGCAACCGCCACCGGTTCCGTCAGGAGATCTTTGAGCCCGCATTCCTCTGTGTGACCGTGCCGAACCGCCAATACGTCGACGCGGTCGAGGCGTGCTTTGGCGACACGCAGCTCCGCACGTTCGTCGCGCAGTGCGAGGAGGACTACCAGACGCTGAACAGGCTCTGCGTTGATACCCCCGAGGCTGTCGGCAGGAAGGCGAGGATCAATACGTGGTTCAAGGCGAAGGACGGAGGCAGGCTCCAGCCGCAGCCGGTGCCCGCAGACCAGCTGGCAGATCTGGGCTTTGATGGCTATGCGATCGACTTTGTGGATTGTCCGGAGGGCTTGAAGTGGTTCTTGTGCGCGGATGTCAAGCTTCACCGTACGGTACGTCTACGAGGTTTCCGTCTCCGCTCTTGCGCGCTTGTCGCGGCGACTAGGCGCGTAGACCCGGGTCGACGTTCGGCGACGACCCCGTAGGCGAGCGGCGAGGAGCCGAAAGGGGGAAAAGCGAGGGAGAGAGGGATAAACGTATCAGAAAACTCGACGGGGCAGAGCGGCGGTCGGCACGAAGGCACGAGACCGACGAAAGCTAGCCTTCACGCAAGCAGCGACAGACTAGTCCCAATGACCAAGAGGTCGAGATGGGGACTAGGGAGCGCCTAGGGGGGTCCTTATATACTAGAGGGGCTGCTTAGCAACCAAGGACAAGGCGCGAGAGCGAGGCAGTGAAGATGACAAAGGGGGAACAAAGGGCGAGAAAGAAAAGGCAAGGGCATGGCGATCACGGGAACGTATCTACAGTGTCCAAACTGGGATGAGCTAGGAAAGGAAACGGTCCGGAAATGGAAGGTGGGCGTCAAAGGAAAGGGAATGGGCGGCAAAAGGGGCGTCTGTCCAA